TATAGTATTAAAGAAATATGCAGTAAAATTTGTATAATTTTTCTCGAGAAAAGGTAAAGAAGGCTCTTACATCCTTGACACTATACTTCATATCACCTTCTTTTGTTTCTTGGTTACTGCACCAATTACTATGAGAAATCATCTCATTCTTTTTTGTTTGATTTCTTTATTGTTTGCCTCTCCACTACGAGTTATCCAAGAGCAGAGTGTTTGTCTTTCTTATCCTATATCCTGAGCCCTCAAAACAATTCTTGGCATGTGGTACGTGCTCAAGAAGGGTTTGTTGGAGGATAAGGGGCCCAATAATGTTTTAGTGAGAGGGGAGAATGCATAAAAATTAGAAGGCAGCAGAAACTGAGTATTTGGTTGAGAAGGGAAAGCATGCACAAATGAAGAAAACATAGAAAAATAGATGGTAATATATAGTAGTGCTGAATAATTGACACATGCAGTGTTTTAGAACTAATATACATACTAAGTGTTTTAGAGAACTGTCAAGATGTTAACTTCCATAGGAAAATACTGTAACTTCTAAATGTTGAAAATACTCCACCAGAAATATTAATGGCTAAATTTGATAATAAAAGAAGTTCTACAATGATAGAACCTCTATTAAATGTTAGAAGTATAAACTATGTTTCAATATATGTGTTACAGAATTTATATTGTGGCGTCTATGTTTATTTTAAGAGGCAATTTAAGTGAAAATCTGAATAGAAACTTGAAATTTACTTAAAGCAAAACATTTGTTGAGTTCACACATTGTTTAAGGCAGACTGTGTATTATGATAGTTTATGACATCTAGTCTGTTTTTCATAAAACTCCCTTGGCCTAGTCTGATGAGTGGCAGGTAGGCTTTAGCCTGAAAAAAAGTATTTATATACTTGAAAAAAAGCATGACAGTTCCCCTATGGTGGGAGTGGGGGAAAGGATTTAGCATGCCCTTTTCCTTTCTATTATTTTTATCTCAGTTGTTATTTTATTCTCTGCATTTGGCTCTTACCACCCGAGAAATTAACTAGTAGATATCTAAAAAGAGACTGGGGAGAAATAGGAGAAACTTGATAGATGTGTATTTGTTAAGAAGTATTTCCAGCCTTCCCTACAAAACAGAAGTAAACAAAAAGGGAGAAAATGTTAGATTGATAAGTCGATTTAAAGCTGAATGGATCAATAAAAAGTCAACAAATGTCATCCAATTCAAAGCGCTTAACAAGTTAAAATTTTGTGTCTGTATGTGTATAAAAATAAAGGTAAAGCTTAAGTTACTTACATTCCTGCTTAGTTTTACAATCCTTAAAACCTAACTTAAACATTCTTAACTCATCTGGAATTGTGTGGTTGGCATTGGATTTGTAGGGAGAAGAATAACAAATGCAATGGAAAACTGCTGCCACAGCAGAAGAACATGCATTTCTTTCCATGTAATCATGATTTATTTTTCTAATTTGGAAGATAGTCAGTATTCAGCTTTTCTAGTAAATTTTTATTTCCAATAAAAAGTAGGCATAGAAATTCCCAAGCCCTCTAGTAATTATTTGTTTTACGGTGTTTATTCACTGACATGACAATTTCGTGAATAATAGGGGTTTTTCTCTTTTGAGAAACTAAAAAGATTTTTATAGGATCTTACAATCTTCAGCAAATAAAAGAAGCAAGTTGAAGATAAATTGCAGCACTATGATTTTTATGTAAAATTTGAAGACATGCAAAAGTAAACATTATTCTTAAGGAATACTCACACACTTGGTAAAATTGCTAAGAAAAACAAGACAATGATATCACACAATTCAGAATAACTGAGATCTTCTGGACAGAAAGGGCAGTATAATTATGGAAGGCAAACAGGGAGCAGCAAACATATTGAAAGTGTTCTATTTCTTAAGCCGATTGGTATGGGGATGAACTTTATGTATATTATATTTTACATTATATACATTATATGATAAAATAATTCATAATTTTTAAAGTGCCTTATATTTCTGTTTCTAGTGTTATCACAGTAGATTAAAAGTCCTAAAATTCCTCATCTATAAAGTTAGAAATGCTACGTAGTATAGACTTAAATCAACGAATGATGAGAGTGGCAGGAGGCCGCCAAATGCCTAGGCAGATAGGGCGGGTCCCCAGTGAAACCCCACCTCCAAGCCAAAGGCAGTTTAAAGCCAGAAAGCCACGCCACAACTTACATTCTTGACTGGACTGAGAACTTGTCTTCCTATTTGACATGCTTTCCTCTGATTGGTCCCCACCCTTCACCTATTTTACATATACATACCCTCTCCTAATTGGTTCTGTATACTGTCTGCCCATCTTTGAGGGGTGTCTTCCCCTTAACCTTTTTTACATACTCACAAACCAATCAGCGTGCACTCCCCATTTGGAGTCCATAAGAGGCCCCAGACCCAGCCACACGTGAGAACTTTCCCGCCTTCGGGTAGGGGAACCACCCCCGCACCCCCATCCCCTCTTTGCTGAGAGCTTTGCTTTCACTTAATAAAATCCACTTCATTCAGTCTCTGGTGTCTGTGTACCTAATTCTTCTGGTTGTGGGACAAGAAATCGGACCTAGCTGAGCTAAGGAACAGAAAGACCGCAACATTAAATTTCAGGGTATCCACTATTGATTGTCAAGAGCAAAAACAAAAACAATCAACAACAACAAAAAAGCAGAAAACCTCAGAAGATATGAGAAAACAGTATGCAGCATAGCATGAGGGCATCTATGGGATTCATACAGGTGGCCTGAAGCCTCAGGCACCTATGCAGGGCAAGATAAAAGATCTGAACCACCCCAAATAAAGCTACAACTTTGCTGGCTCTAGCATATGTAACAGGATGGCCTACAACTACAAGAAAACCCTTTTAGCAATGGTAGATTTAAAAAAAAAAAAAAAAAAAAAAACTGTTTAATCTCTCTATGTTTTAGCCAATAGAAAATACCCCTGGAATTTAGCAAGGACAAACTAGCTCATTCAAGCCTGAATTCACACATGTGTTATCCCAAAATGCCCCAAGAGGAAACCGTATTAAGGAGAGGATGATGATGAACTGTCACCAGCACCATAGCAGCAGTAAATGTTGATTCTCTCTCAACAGACTCATCACAAAATTCCTATTTAGAATTTTTAAAATTAAGATTACATAATTACTAACACACATGCTGTCTCTCTCTCTCACACACACACAGGGAGAGAGAGAGAGAGAGATCGAGAGAAATAAGAGTCAGCAATTATAGCAAACAACAAAAGTAGACGAAGACTTCAGATCCTGGAATCATTACAGAAAGACCCAAACCAACATACATCATAATGAAATTACTAAACACTAGGACAAAATGACAATCATAAAAGCTTCCAAAGAAAGGAAAAAAAATAGCCACGAAATACAAAAAATCATGACTCAGGCTTCTCAGTAGCAACATGAATGCTAAGAAATTTTAAGGAAGGTTTTCAAAATTCAAAAGAAAAATTCTACAGACTTCTACACAAGCAAACCATTTCAGCCCATAGGAAAACATTCTCAGACATGCACATCTCAAAAAATGTACCTCTTTGCTCACTTTTCTTGACAACTTTTGGAAAATGTACTCCACTGAAAAGAAGAAATAAGCAAAGAAATTAGTCCTGGTATAAAGTTGAATTGATTAAACAGAGGAGCCTGAGAAGGGGAACTGCAGGGATGGTGCAAAAGAAAGATTCCCAGATGGCAACTGTGAACATGATAGAAAGAGCACCTGGCATGGCTTTGAGTAGGTTTGATGGCTTTGGGAGGGACTTCTGTGAAAGGTGAAACCAGAAGAATGCCAGGCACATCTGGCATCTTAAGAAGAGAGGTAAAGGCCCAGCACCGTGGCTCACGCCTGTAATCCCAGCACTTGGGAGGTCAAGGTGGACAGATCATGGCGTCAAGAGATCAAGACCATCCTGGCTAACATGGTGAAACCCCGTCTCTATTAAAAATACAAAAATTAGCTGGGCTTGATGACACGTACCTGTAATCCCAGCTATTTGAGAGGCTGAGGCAGGAGAGGCACTTGAACATGGGAAGCGGAGGTTGCAGTGAGCCAAGATAGCACCACTGCACTCCAGTCTGGCGACAGAGTGAGACTCCATCTAAAAAAAAGAAAAAGAAAAAAAAAAAGAAGGAAGGTAGGAAACTGGCAAAGCATTTGGGACTGTATTAATTATAAGTACATGGAAAACACAGCAAATGAAAAGAAAGAAGGCAAGGAAACAAAAAGTTGTACAGAAAAAGGAATCAATCATGTTTCCCCACCAGCCTCAACTGTGAACGGGGCTCCCGTTAAGTCATAATGATGCAACTGCTATGATGGGATAGAAAATAATCCTTTGGGACCGAGAGATGACAGAGGGACAACTGAATGTGAAGTCAAAAGATAATGCCTGAGACTGAAAAATAAAAAAGTTATGACAAAAGCATGTTATTTGGAGAAAACGCTATAATTACCAACCAAATAAATCATTAAAAAAAAGGTGAAAATGCATGCAAAGACTGAAGACGCAGAGGCGATGGAGAAGAGGAGCTATACTGCTGTTTTTTTTAAACAAATGTCAGAGAGTTATGAGAATGCTTTCCAAAGAAATAAAATAAGTACCACATGTGTAAGTATTAATTTTCTAGCGGCCATATTTAGGAAAAAGAAAAAAAAAAGAAAGCTAGTGAAATTAAAAAAAAATTTTTTTTTTGGAGATAGAGTTTTGCTCTTGTCTCCCAGTCTGGAGCACAATGGCACCATCTCAGCTCACTGCAATCTCCACCTCCTGGGTTCAAGCGATTCTCCTGCCTCAGCCTCCTGAGTAGCTTGAATTACAGGCACCCACAACCACATCTGACTAATTTTTATATTTTTAATGGAGATGGGGTTTCACCATGTTGGCCAGGCTAGTCTCGAACTCCTGCCCTCAGGTGATTCACCTGCCTCAGCCCCTCAAAGTGCTGGGATTACAGGCATGAGCCACCACACCTGGTTGTGAAATTAATTTTAATATATTTTATTTAACCAAACATATCCATATATTTTATTTAATATAGTTTAAGCGAATACACCATCATTTTCAAAAGTAATCATTACTAAAGATATATTTTACATTTTCTTATACTAAATCTGAAATCCAGGGTGTATTTTATACTTGCAACACATCTCAATTAGGATTAGCCACATTTCAAGCACTCAGTACCTACATAAGTCTAGGACTACCTTATTCAACAGTACAATTCTAAGCTATGTGCATGCATAACTGTGATAACATTTTTTAAAAATTGTAAAGGAGCACTGGTGTTGATAGGTTGTCTGCTTAATCCATGAAAACATAAATGCACTAACGTCATTCAAACAGAGGACATTACATATGTGAAACGACCAGGGAAAAAGGAACTTCCTTGAGCAAACTCTATGAAAAGTGAAATTGTAGATTACTCGTTTATTATCTGAACATGGATCTCATCTCCTGTACGGACTACTCTTTATATATCTCATTTATTTTTACAACCTATTCCCTTTCCCTTATAAATGACAAAACTAATGCCAGACAAGTGGCTTGCCCAAATGTTTTAAGTTATTTATAATAAACAGCTAAGTTAGCATCACATCCAGGCTGTCTGATACCACTGATCACAAGTTTCACCACAGTGCTCTGCATGGGACTATATCTGAATGTGTGGGCATAGTTCCACAAAGATAATAAATGTCTAAGTAAGTATAGTACTCACGGATCTGAATGTAATGCTCACTCATATAACAGTAAAAAGACTATCAACATGTTTCTACTTCTTAATGGCTAAGTAACTCAAATATTTATTTGAGGAAAGTAACTTAGTTTTAGAGGATATGGCCATTTGAAATAAGGTTGAAATTGAAGGATTATATGTCTCAACAAACTATCAATGTTTTTCAGGGGTTATACAGTTAGAAGGAGGTTTTTATAATTAATGAATTTAGTCCAAGGAGTAATTTAACTACATTGGTTATCTATTGCTGTGTAATAAAATACCCCCCAAAACATGGTGGCTGAAAACCACCAACATTTATTACCTCATAGTTTATTGTGGGTCAGGAAACCACACACAGCTTGGCTTGGTGCCTTTGACTCAGGGTCTCCCATGAGGCCACAATATCATGTATCAAGGTGTTGGCCAGGTCTGCAGCCATCTCAAGGCTCACCTGGGGAAGCCTCCACTTATAGGCCCAATCATATGGCTGTTGACCAGAGACATCAGCTCTTTTCGGCATGAGCCTCTTCATAGGACTCATGACATGCCAGCTTGCTTCCTTCAGAATGAGGGCTTGGGGGATAAGGATGGACAAACAAGACAAAATCACAATCTTTTTTGTAACCTAATTTCAGAATAGACATTCCATCACATTTGCTGTACTCTGTGCACTAGAAGAAAGTCACTAGATCCTGCCCATACTCAAAGAAAGATTACAAAAGAGCGTGAAAACCTGGAGACAAGAGATCATCAGAGCCATTTCAGAGACTGCCAGCCTCGATGACAAGCAATTTTACAATACTTTAAGCTTGAAAAGATGCAGTTGGTTATTCCATCATTCATTCATTCATTCAGCAGTAATTGTACACCTACTTTGTGCCAGGCCCTGGAGATCTTGGGAGCAAAGCAGATATTCTCATGGTCTTTATAAAACCTACAGTCTAGTGTCCTTAAACACCAAAATGATTTTTATCACAAAGGATAAAGTGTTTTATGACAAGAAAACTTACTACAGGAACTTTCTGTCTTACTGCTTTTTCTTAACTGTTGCTCTTATAAATCAAATACTGATGGCCTTTCAATAAAGACAAAAAATTACTCTGATCTTGCTACATCATTATTCTGTGATAACCCTTTGCTTGGATCTATAGACTTTCTAGCTCAGTGAGAACCCATGTGATTTGCTCTAATTTCTGTACTGACAATACAGTGTAAGGCCTGCAGATTAGAAATTTGAGCTCACCCAGCCGTGGAAAAAGAAACTGCCAATGAATTTAGCTCTTTGTCCCTCTCAAGCCAAAAACTGACAGAAAAAAATTATAAGGTTGGTAAGATCCCATTCAGATTCTATGATCAATGCTTTGTCGTCTAATGAAAAACTTGAGAAGTTTTTTTTAACAAGAATTAAAACTAGGATCATTTCAAAATAAAAAACAAATGATCAGCGACTGAAGGATCCTGAAATTTTTATTTCTAGAATTCTTAAAGTTCTTTCTGTTTATCCTTATCAGACTCTCTCCTCAGTGAATATTTCATACAGTGCTGAGTGTCCATACTCTGGTCCATTTCTCAAAGAGTATACTTAAAGGATTTTATTTTCTTCTTAGAGATAATAACATCTTCATATTTTTAAGTCACCAATTTGAGTAGATACACAATAACTTCACACACACACACACACACACACACACACACACACCACTCCTTGTTCACCCAATACAGATTGCATTTTCTACATAAGCGCATTTAAATAATCTGAGTATTTCAAGGTGGCAGAAAAGAAAGGCTCAAATGCATCAAAACAAATGAAAACAGATAATTAAGCTCATTGAATAATACCAATGAATATATGTGAAGCAAGTTTATGTTGCAAATCACTTAGCTCAACTGCAGGTACAACATTGATGTACCTAATAGAAAGAAGTATATTATATACTTGTGATGTAAAAGTTTTATAAGAGCAAACTGACAAGATCTCCGTGCATTTAGACCTTTTAAAATTTACTAAGACTCGAGAATCTGCCTGTCCCAGATTCTAGTGGTAGCTTCGATTTTGAATGACTTAATAATCCCCTATTGTGTTGAAGCTCTGAAAGTTGCCATTAGAATAACATACCTACCATTGCTCAGTTAGTCACTTTTACAGATTCTAGCCTAAGAACAACAATCTCTACCACTTGAGCAATTTTAAATGTTTGTCTCACTTTAATAGAAAGTATACCTTAAGGATATATGCCCTTTTACTCAAATAAGTGAGACATTGACAATCTCATTATGGAGTTGTGTTAATAGACCCAAAATGTAAGAATTCCATCTACTCTCATTTGTTAACAATAAACATGATCTATAAAATAATTTCACTTGTTTCTTAAAATGAATGGTCAGATAATTCATTAATTCAAAAGCATTTGTTGCAAATGTTAATTCCAGAACAAAAACTTTTGAACCACAGAATATTCAACAGCAAAATAATGCAGAACTCTATGATCTCAAAAGATGGAGAACCCTTGGAGTTTATTTGGTAACTAGCTGGGGATGGTGTATTGGCAAATATTTGTATACAGAACTAGAATTAAAGTAAGGATGATTTCAATAATTGCAAAATAAATGAATACATAATCAATGATTGCAGAAGCCTGCAAATTTTCTTTCTAGGATTCTATCTCCTATACAAATTCATAGGCTGTACAAAGATATATGTGCAAAGATATTTACTGCTATCTTCACTGCAAAATCAAAAAGCATATAAAAAGGTGAAAAACGTGAAAGAGCTCTAAACCTCTCTTAGAATAGGAATGATTACAATGAGTGGTAAATTCTCGCTATAGAATACCTTGCAACATGTACAGTGTAATATTATGTTTGTACTGTTTGGCTTATACAATAGTCCTGAGGCTGCAAACATTTTATTTGAGAATAAGTTGTCTATGGCGTGACCCACTAGCTTTCTAATTAGGAAGACTGTTCTTCAAAGGTAGCTACTACAGGTGTTTCTGTTATCCACATCTTTATCAATGACTTTCTACAAATCAGGGTTTGATTTATTATTTTATTGATTGCCTTAAGAAAGTGTTGCAGAAAGTAATAATGCAGATTAAACCTCAGTGCATATCATGTCTACAGCCATTACACTATAAATGTTACCAAAAACTGAGAAATTCTTCTTCCAGCATTCAAAAACTCATCTGATTAAGCAAAGTTGCTTATGTCATTGTTGATAAAAAATCAAGTTCCAATGTGTCTTCAAAGTTCTACTTTCATCTTCCTCATTAACATCAACAAAAAATTAAATAACATTCATGCAGATCCTAATTATTCATCAATTATAATCATAGGTTAGCTGCAGATATTAGTTTGGCTCAAATCAGTGCAAATATTAGTTGGCTCAAATCTCATGAAATTGGTTATTTCATGAAAATCAGCTGGGTATATGAATTTACAATAATGAATGTTGTAATATTTTATTATTTGTGAATTGCATGCTTCACATCTTTTATATCAGTAAAATGCATAATAAACCTGTATCTTACACACACACACACACACACACACACACACACACACACACATTCTTCAGAGCTGGTTGTTGAACATTACCAACATTACACGCTACTGGGTTGAGGGAGCATGAATAGTGTTCGCTCAGCTCAAAATTTCATCAGCTGATACTGTTGATGCATCTACTCAAAAGAACTCATGCATTATGTATCAACAAATTGGTATGGGTAAGTGCAGAACAGTGAGATGATGACAAAGGGCCACATTTTAAGGCCAGCATCAATTTTTCTGTGTTTGGCTGTATGCTTTTTAGGACCAGCTGTTTAAAATCTAATTATTTTACAAAGGGTATGAATAGGTATCCTTGGACAGCAATTAAAATTTTACACACACTTTTAAAAGCCTGTTTTGAAAATAAGCCTGAAGAAAATCGATTGGATTTTTTAAATAATCACAAATAATGTTCTAAGTTAAAATAAGGAAACTTTATTTTTAATGGACTTAGGTTCAAACTTCAGGAAAAAAATGTTCAACATATACAACTTTCATACAAAAAGTACCATGGCATTGAGGGCATTGGGGAAAAGATGGCAGTTTTGGTAAAGAATATTTGTATTTTGGCAGTGCACATTTGAAGAAAAAAAAAGTTGTTAGAGGCTAAAGATTTAGTCTGTTATAGTAAAACATTTTGGTTTTAACTTTTGGGGGCTAGGTAAAGAACAATACATTTATCAAATTATCTTTTACTGTCTTGCTTGGTTTACATATGGATCAGTCTCTAGAATTCTCATTTTGTCTATTCCAAATTCAGTATTATGAACACACATGGAAAATGGTTGAAAACAAATGGGGACCTGTACAATCAACAATAATAAAATGGAGTCCAATTGCCTTATCTCACCAGATATGGAGCCCTGCTTTTGCATATTATTTGGTCCAGAATATACACAAGATCAATCAGTGACTTGCTAAGTTTCTCTCATGTATAAATCCCAAAGGCTCAGCATGAGCAACAGGGCCCAATCAGCTCAGTTTACAAGGGGAGCCTACGAGTTTTTTTTGCCTTCAGCTACTGTTTAATACCAGCTGTTTGTTCTTTCTGGTCCTCCTGCTTCTCTGCCTCCTCCAGGTCTCATTTGAAAAACCTGCCCCATAGATAACCAATTCAATCTTTCTGAGTTGCCTTGGCAACTCTCAGATAGGATAGCGCACTGCTTCCCAGTCTAATTCCATCACATCCCTCAATTAGTTTAGTTAAGCCTTTTATGAACAAATATTCCTTAGAAGTATAATCAGGAACTGGCTTACCCTAAATTATGTTAGGAGATCCCTACGGGTGATTTTTTTGTGTGTATCCCCAGGGCTCTCTTCTTCCAAAGTCCCTCTCTCTAATGCCAGAAAGCAGGATAGATTATTATACAATCCATTTTCATGTTTCTCGCCACTATCTGTGAACTTTACCTTGAAGATTTACTTTTGTACAGGGTCTTCTGCCTGGCCTGTAACATTGGTATCCTCTAAAGCTTGGCAGGGTTCCTTGGTTGGCAATAATTACCATGTGGCCAAATTTTCCACTTCAGGTCCTCAAAAAGTTCCTGTTGTAAGCAGAATGAATATTCTACTGCATATGATGTTTGCAAAGCACACAGAGATAATGCTTTGTTTATATTTTAAGAGGGGAAACATCACCTATGGCCCAACTGGTGCTACCACACCAACTAGTGCTACCACAGAACAGACGGCATTGCCCGCCGAACAAGGTCAACCTAAATTACCTCATCAAGCCTGCTCAGGAGGGCTTCCCAGATGGATTGCCTGGCTCTTCAGACCTGAAGAAAGTTATCCTTCCTTTGAAAAAAATTAAATGAGAACAAATTTTTGTCTTTAGAATTTGACAGTTCTCTTGCAACTCTAGCACTAGTTGTTGAATATATACAACCTGATAAGGCACAGGAACAACAAATTTACTTTAATTCATTGCATTCAATGTATGAAATAATTAAACATTTTAACATCATACTAAAGATGGCTAAACGTAAAGACACACAATTTTGAACTGGCTTAATTTCCTTATAATAAGCAAATTACATTTGATTTCTACTGAGTAATTTATGCTGAATTAAGCCAATAGTTTGTTATTACACATTTAATAATCGATATAAAAGTGAGGCAATAAACACAAAATTGTTATAAAGTAGCAAATCATACATATAATGTGATGAATGGGAACGTTTTCCTGAGTATTAATTAAATTTGGTACGTTTTCCTCAGTATTAATTAAATTTGGCTATTCTTGGAATCATACATTATTAGAGCTGAGAGTCTCTCTGCAAGTCTAGTAAGAGTTGAAAGTCACATATCATAAAATAAATTTAAGGTCCCACACTGACCTACTCAATAGGCAATGAGAAAAACTGAAATCACCATTTGTGGCAATATTTCCTGTTTGGGGGAGCATGTCACAGTGAGAAACTAGTTTCTCTCCTTTTTATAATTCTCTCCCTTCAAAATATATGTACACTACACATTTTGACCTAAGCAAAGGTGAGCTAATCAATGTTTACTGCCTGCAGTAAGTTTAGAGAAAAGACTTCAGACCTTATCTCTTCAGTCCCTGAGGCAGTCATTCTGGAAAATCTTGCAATTCTGCTTTTCCAGAGTTTCTGAATCTTTAAAGAATTGAACACTTCACAATTCAGTTGCACTCATAAAGACAACTTGACAACAACTAAAATACAATGAATTTGACAAAAAGTATGATCATACAGGATCTGCTCACTTGTTTTAAAATACATAAACCCTGAACAATTGGATAATTTTGTCCAGATCTGAGAGGTAGTCCTATATCAAAAATTCATGAAACTGAGAAAAAAATTAAATATTGACAGTGATCTGGAAAATTTCATATAGTTTTGTCCATCTGTTAACTTGAAACACTTCCATTTATTGGCTCAAATCATGGAAGGGGCATTCAAAGCATACCATGAAAAAACCTCGCTGAAATTTGCTTATAAAGTAAAGAATCCTCATATAGTACCTTAGAGATTATTTCAACAAATATAACAGCCCTCAAATAGTCCCTTGAAGCTATTCAGTATTACTGAAGAAAATGTGGTTGTATTTTTAGGTAAATATACTTATTCGTCATTTCTCTTATTATGTAATAGTAATTAAAAGAACAGATTGCTGTGGAGATTTTTAAAAGTTTATTGTTTCTTTGTAAACCTGTTACAGAAAAATGTTTTGTTATAACCTAAAGTCTAGGTGCCTCTAGACAAACATCTACTTATTTATAAGACTTATTTACTGCCAAAAATTCTTACTCTGTGCCTAACTCTAGTCACAACTTCCATAATTCGTTCTTGTTATGTTTCCAGTGAAAGGAAAGGTTAACAGGTTATTCTTCCTCATCTATAACTCAGCATGAACATAGCTGCTTTTATTTTTAAAGGCAAGTAAGACACTCTAGCTGCTGATCTGTTTTTCTTGTGCTTCCATGGAAGAAAATAGATTTTAAGAAGAAAAGAAAAAGTACAAGTAAACATGTATTTACTGTAAACACTATCTAATTTAGCCTAGACAGCTTGTTGAGAAGGACATATACAAAGACATATATAAATCTATATCTTATTATGAACTATTTTTGTCCTCACTTATGTTCCAGAAGTAATAAAAATGCTTGCAAGTAGCAGCTTCTAAACCAAATACACATTTTTGCCACCCGTTACTCCAGTGAAGGCATTTTTGTAATTAAAGATTGAAATTCTAGTGGAGTTTCTTTTATGAAAGTAAGCTAACTTTACAAGAAACAGCCTTAAGGAATTTTTAGAGACTCTTCTGATTGTGTTAATGAGATTTTTTTTAACATTTAGTGTAAATATGCTTTTATCTTGTCTTCTCCATCTCACAGAATTAACAGAGATGCTCAGGCCCACGCAGAGCCATAATTCTTGCTGGCTCTTTTCCCTGCAGGCCCCATATCAAATCCAATAGCTTTCATCTGTGCCTTCAAAGTAGCCCCTGAATGTGTTCACTTCTCACCACCTTCACTTTTACCATCTTGGTCCATATCAGCATCCTCTCTGCCCAGGGCTGCTGTGCTTCAGTACATTTTCCTACAGTTCATTCTTCACGCAGCCCTCAAAGGGTCTTAAAAATGCAGGTCAGGCTGGGCACGATGGTTCATGCCGGCAACCTAGCACTTTTGGGAGGCTGAGGCAGGCAGATCACTTGAGATCAGGAGTTTGAGACCAGCCTGGCCAACATGGTAAAACCCCATCTCTACTAAAATACTAAAAAATTAGCCCGGCATGGTGGTGTGTGCCTGTAATCCCAGCTACTCAGGAGGCTGAGGCAGGAGAATCACTTGAACCCAGGAGGCGGAGGTTGCAGTGAGCCAAGATCACGCCTCTGCACTCCAGCCTGGGCAACAGAGCAAGACTCCATCTCAAAAAAGAAAAAAATGCAAGTCAGATGATGCTTTTCTTCTGCTTGAAATGGACCAGTGCTTACTAATGTTTGCATTTGTAAGGAAAGAGAATAATGACAGCATTCAGAAAAACCTAGTTAATTTGTAGTGTGTAACAAACTAATATACAATCATAAATTTTACCTTAAAAAAATAACAAAATTTCTCATGTAATAGGTTAATCTCCATTTTCAAGTAGGTCTTAATCTCAAAATTATCCACTTAATGGTAAATATTTTAAAACACCTCTTTTTTAATACTGGCTTTAAGGCCATTTCTCTCTTTGGCACTTTAAATTCAATAATAATGTAATTTGTCATCACCAAAAATGTTCTTAGCTAGCTGCTTTGTTAGTACTATGTCAATCTTAAAATTGATGAATGTCAGTCACAAAAAATTCTGATCTCATTTTTCTTTAATATACTCAGCAGGGACCATCTATAAATCCTACAGGAAGTCCCAGACAGCCTCAGATAAATAGCATACTTTCCCTCTGATGGCAAAGAAAACTCATAAAAATTCTAGGCAGGTGGAGGTTTCTTTTTCTTTTACCTGAATCGATCAGTCTGTTATTGTGAACTTAAATCAAGGCACTTTTAATGAGGTTTTCAACAGAATCATTATTGAAAATTTAATAGACGGAAAAATGGTTTGGGGTGACTTAATAACTAAAGCATTATAATTCTATTGACCAAAAACTCTGGTTTATTAAGAATTTAAATTGTGACAGTAATAGTAGCAATAGATGAAAATTATAGCAGGTTTACTTTTTGGGTATGATTAGAGGGCAATCATGCTGCATTTAGGGGTTGCTCTAGTGCTTCATCCTCCCTTAATCATATTTTTTACCCCCTACTATGTTTATGACCCAGTATACCCTCATGGCTAGAAGTATTTTCTTTTTACCATTGTTTTCTGGCCTAATAATATAAATGGCATTTCCCCACATGTGTTCTGCAGAACATAATCTTAGAATATTAAAAGGTAATTTGCTAATAACAACAACAACAATAATAATAAGGTTCTTTGGTCAATAAGCTTGGGAAAAATATGCTAATAAAAAATTAGTTCGTTTCTTTGCTGTAGGACTTCTTAGGGCCTTGCATATACTAAAATAAACTGTAAACCTCAAAGAGTAATTAAATTTCAGTTTCCCAAATTATCCGACCACTGAACCATTATCTTAAGGAATATCTTTGGACAAGTGTTCTGGAAAATGCTTCTGTCATTCATCACGTGGTGAAAGCCTTTGACACTGTTGGGATACTTATCTGATGAAAGGACTGGAGCTTTCCCATTGCCTTAGTGGACGATTGAGTCCAGAAACACTGCACGGTCAAAACTCCATAATCTCTTGCCTTCTGGATCTCTGAAATTCCAGTGCTTCATGTTTACTATTCATTGTTCAATTATTTATGTTATTAAGCTGTAACTCAATTCTATAGTCCCATGACCTTCTTAGATCTGAAGGACTGTTTCCATACCTTCCTCCATTTAATTTCTTTGGGGCATCTGATACCACTGATCACTCAATAGTACTTGAAATCTTTACATTCTTGGTTCTTCTATTGCTTTGGCTCTCTTTTCTGTTTCCTGTGGAATTCCTTTTTCTTCTTATTATTATTTTTTTCTTTTTGCCAGAGCAATCAGACAAGAAAAAGAAATAAAGGGTATTCAAATAGGAAAGGAGGAAGTCAAATTGTCTCTATTTGCAGATGACATGATTGTATATCTAGAAGACCTTTTTCTCTGTTCATTCTTTATATATTGCTCCTCAGTGTTTTGCTAGCCTTCTCTTCTCTCCCTACATTTTTCTCTCTTTTATTTGATCTGTATTTTTTGCTTCACCTATCATTAGAAACTGATGGTTCACAAAGCTATATTTTTGAGATCTCTGTGACCTCTAAATGCCTACAAACCTCTCCACTTGAATATAACCTCCAATTAATTGTCACCCTCTTCACTATAGTATTCACAGGTACCTCAAGTTTAGTCTGTAATAAAATTAATTCATCATCTTTCTACACATAGCTAAAGAAAGTTCCTAATTCCTGGCATTTCTTATCCTCATTCAGTGTTGAATTCACAGAAATTATCATGGTTGATAGTATGCTACTGTGGAAAAAAACACTTGGCATGGAGTTAGATTTCTTGAGTGTACATTGTACAACTGAGTTAATAATTTGCAGTTACATAATCCTGGGTAAGTCGGTTCAAAATTTTGGATCTCAGTTTCCTCATGTATAAGATATTAGATAATCCTATAGTTCTTTGTTGCAGTCTTCAATGACTATATTATTTCCCTTTAATCTTGGAAGATTTTAGCCTCTATCTCATTGGTACTTTATCCAGCACTATCCTTTAATGGTTAAATGTTTGGATTACCCTTCCAACATCCTTCTCATGTAATTCTCTGAATTCCTGTGCTCGAATTGTCATGAACACTATATTGCCTCAGCCACTCACCCTCACAATTGGATCCTAGGCCTTGTCACAACAAATAAAACAATCCTAAAATTAAATTCTAAGCACTTATTTAAGCATCTTCATCCTTCAGTCCTTCAGCTACACTGGGGCTTACAACCCATTGACCTGAATACTTATTTAGCATCTGATTCCCCTCCCCCCACCAACCCCCCACCCCATTATTGGTACTAAGTATTACCTAGGTGAGAAGTAAGTAAATAATACTTCACCCAATATATAACTGGGTATTATTTACCCAGTTATATAATCCTGGGTAAGTCGGTTCAAAATTTTGGATCTCAGTTCCCTCATATATAAGATATTAGATAATCCTATACTTCTTTGTTGCAGTCTTTAATGACTATAGTATTTCCCTTTAGTCTTGGAAGATTTTAGTACCATTGTATTGGAAGACACTTAGTACCAATGGGATAGAAGCTAAGATAGAAGCTAAACTGAGATCCTCAATTTTGAACCAACTTATCCAGAATTATATAACTGGACAATATTTACCCAGTTACACATTGGGAGAAGTATTATTTACTTACTTCTCGCCTAAGAAGCTTCCACTTCATGGTGAAGCCTATGGTATTCCCTTGAATACATCCTCAACCTCCTTATCCTGACTTATCTTCTTTGTACTCATTTGGCAAAATCCCTACTCTGGTTAAATCCAACTCTCTACCTAACTCGTAACTCTTTGATAAAGGTGAAGATGGCTAGAGGAAAAGTGTATATATATATATAATATATTAATTATCAATCTCCCCTTTTTTTTCTGTTTCATTCACTAATGTAATCCTAGCACCTAGAACAGTACCTTGTATACAGTAACTGTTTAATAAATATTTGTTGAATGAATAAATGAAGCATATGTTTTCATAATTCACACAGAATTCTATTGACTCAACCTGTAAATACATATCCCTTTTCTTCCACTGTAAAGAGCTCATATATTTTAGAAGAGGTCTAACTTTCAAAGGGATAAATTAGCAAATGCTTTTTGTTTATCTTCAAAGCAGCCCTAAGCATATTTGTAATTATTGAATCCATAGTTAATATTTTCACTTTGATTGTGAAGCTTTTATATAAAATATGTGATGATTTGAGAAACCATGGTATTTTCCTGCTTGCAGCTTTGAAATAATTATATCTTTAACTAATTCATTATTGTAACAGGGAAGTTGAGACTAGAATGTTACAATATTGGGGTTTTAATGATGAAGAAAGCCAGCAAGACTCCAGTATCCATAGCAACATAAATTTATTTTCATCTTTTAAGTGACCAAAGGTAATTATTTCTTTTCTTTACAGTATTATATCAGATTTTATCACAGAGGTAAAAAACATATATTAACTTTCAAGTGAGGGGAAAATATTTAAGACAGAAGTACATTCAACTACCACTACACCCCTATAGGAGACTTCTCTCTTCCCCAAATAAAGGAATGCATAGCTCTGATTCAAAAGTAAAAGGTTTATAAATAAGACTTAAAGTATGACTTTTCAGTTAAAACTTTTGGCTAGATGGGGAAGAAAAACAGCTATGAAATGCAATCTTAAACATTAAAATGATACCATAAAATCTTGGGGAAAGTGGAATGAGTATCAAGGTCTCTATGAGTCTTTAGAAAGTCAGCCTCACTAAAACAAGACAGAAGTTCTTTAGGTAGCAGAATTTATGAAACAGAGAATAACAGAGATAGAAGGGAACCTGAAGACAATATAGCAAAATGTTAATAGGTGAGTAATAAAGGAAAAAAGGGAGGGGGTACTTTCTCCATTTTTCTATACATTTGAAATATTTCATAATTAAAATAACTTTAAGATGAAAAAAAGAGATTTCATGAGATAGCTTTAAGGAGATGAGATGGTTAATTCTAAGACTAAGGTGTTTGAAAACCACGTTCTGCTTAAAACTGTCTTTGCAGTATTTGACTCATTTTGTTAATTACGAATAACTGGGAAAGAGTTCATCAAATAATCTGTCCTCAAAAGCTATTTTCATCTAAATGTTCTTTTTATCTATTTATAAAACGTTTTCACTTATCTATGATTCAACTGGTTCTTTGATGTTATTGGATGCCTTGTACTGTGGACATCTGTCTCTGATTTTGTAGGAACCAGTAGTCAATTGATTTTTATTTTATTACC